AAACCCTCGGCGGGAGCGCCACCGTGCTTCCCAAGCGGCGCACTGTAGCAGTGCGCCACCGGGCCGGCCCTTGAGCACAGTTCTTAGATGAGAGGACAAATTCAATAGAGAGGAAGATACTAAACAATAAGAGGGATAAGAAATAGATATAACAGAAATGTAGATTAAGGGACTGAGTAAAAAGCACAGGTTAAAGATTAGCCTTCAAGGAATCTGTCACCATACCACTTTATTAAGAGAGATGGACAGAAAAAAGGGTGAATTTATAGACATTAGGAAGGAAACCAGAGGGAAATACAGGGAATTCTTACTTGGCTAAATTTCACTATAATGGTAGTCATCTAATGAAAGTGGGAAGGTTGTGATTTAGTGTAGGGAACCTGATGCGTGGTAAGGTTTTGATCTGCCTGAGGAATGAGAAAAGGAAGCTGAATAAAGATAAGTAAAAAAATTACTCAGCTGAGATGACAGCTCAGATTTCAAGACTTAACAAATCCACACTCAGGTCTCAGCAAAGTTACGTATTTTTCTCTAGCGTTCATTACCTGGCACCAGACAGAATGGCTGTATGAAAAGAACAGACCAGATAGCTTCTTGAGGATATTGTTAAGGGGGAGTATTAGTAGGTTCTCAGCTCAACAAAGGAAGTCAATTGTCACTTATTGTTATCTTTTTCATTTAAACATAAACTAAACAATGATAACATCTTGACCAATTAGACATTTTATACAGAAAAGGAGACTGATAAGATTAGAAGGGGCCCAGACACTAGAAATCACATGAAGTGTTAAGAAAGCAGGAGGCAGAAGTAAATGAAAATGAAGTCAGCATGGATCCCAAGCTGCTCTGTCAGTTTCTTAGTCTGTAGAGAAAATAATGTGCATCTACCTAGCGGTTTTTTAAATCAAATCACATGATGTATATAAAAGCATCTTGGAAAACTGTCTAATTGAACTGGGAAGTTATGGTGGCTTTCCTTGCACATTACTACTTCGCGCTGGCCCCCCAGCCCCTTCCTATCCAATGCTTGGCCTCTGCAGTCTCCACTTTGGGGAATCTCCGGAATTTGCAGGCTGTGGGTCTGGATGAGCTTAGATTCTTCTTTTTTTAAAAAACAACTTTTTTGGGGGGGAATTCTATTCACTTACCATAAAAATTTGCTCATTTAATGTACAAAATTTAATTTTTTTGTATGTTCACAGAATTGTGCACTCATCACTATGACCTAATTTTAAAATATATTCATCAGTAGCCCAAAGAAAAACCCTGTCTCCAGTAGTAGTCACTCTCCATTCACCACAACCCCCAGTCCTAGGCAACTACTAGTCTACTTTCTCTCTCTATGGATTTGCCAGTTTGGACATTTGCTATCAATGGAATCATAATATGAGACTAGCTTTTTTCACTTAGTATGTTTTCAAAGTTTCTATGCTCCTTTTGTTACTAGCTTCTTTCATTATGTTTTCAAAGCTTGTCCTTGTAGTATGTATCAGAATTTCATTCCTTTACTGTTGAAAAATATTCTGTTGTATGCATATACTATATTTTATTTATCAATCAATGAATGGATATTTGCATTACTTTCACTTTTTGGCTATTATGAATAAAGCGGGTATGAACATTTGTACAAAAAATATAAAAATTATCTAAATAGCGTTTTTAGAACATAATCAAGAAAGAGTAAGCAGCTAAAAATAAACAAAACATTAAAAATTAGCTTTTAAAGCGTTTTATTGTGATACTAAATTAAAAGAGAATAAATCATTTTAAGATTGACAGTCTAAAAAATGCAAATATTTAACAATTTAAAAAGCTCTTATAACATAAGGTTCATAATCATTTATCTCCACTGCAGCTATGGACTGAGCACCACTGGGTTCTAGCCTCTGCACCCAGCCAATAGTGAACACAGAATCTCTGCCATTCAGAGCTTGCGTTCTAGGAAAAATCTCAGATGTTGAGTAACTCATCTCAAAGTATTAACCAAACAGTTTACATAATGATCATTTAAAGATGGTGAGGACTAGAAACATTATATTGTACATAAGTAAAAGATATTTAAGAAAAATGACTAAGAAAAAAGCTTTACTACTTATTTACCGAATCAGTCTGTATGGTACATATTTATGACATTCCCTTTATGAGTAAAACATGACTGAAGCTTAAGAGTAGTTATATCACTTTATCTTCTCTTTGCTTTATTTGATGACAGACAGCATATGTACATACTTCGGTAGTATACTAACCTGGCAGTGCCATCAGATGATGAAGTAAGGATATAGCGATCATCTTTTGACCAGCAAAGATCATAAATGATATTGAGATGGCCACACAATTCTCTCATGAAACGTCCAGAAGGAATTTCATATACTAATGAAAATATTTAGAAATTAGTAGGTTTCCAGACAGAGGATCCTTAAGCCAATGATATACAAATACATAATTTACAACAATTTGGACATAAATTACACACTGTAAAAAAATTATAACCAAAGACATCTGCAATGGAAACAAAATGTCAAAATCTACTTAATAGTTTTCATTTGCTTTAGACATTAGAATTTACACACGAAGTTTTATAATATGCTACAATTATCAATTACTGTCATCTCTTCAAAGCAATCCCCCCAAGAATCTTTGACAATCAATTTATTTAGTCAAATACTCAATAACATTCACATTACAATTCACTTCAAATATTCTATAATTTCGGCTTTCATGGATGCGTTATTATTTTATCTAAAAATCTATTAAATTCCAACCAAAATTTTAACTTGAGGTAATGAGATTTAAACTGTGCTAGTGTCAGAAAAAAATTGTAATACTAAAATAACAGAGAGCAAGAGGATTAGAGTAATTAAATCTGACAGACAAAGCACTGTGGTGTTACTATATGTTATATATACAATGATCTAAAATAACACAACACAGAAGAATAAAGTTTCCAAGTCTCTACTTCCACCTAGTGGTAAAATCAATTGCCCTTTAAAATACTAAGCAGTTCAGAAGTACAGTATTTATGGAAGAGCAAAAGAAAACCTTGGAAAATCTGTTCCCCCATGTAAGCAATGAGAATACTGGCAAAAAATTGTCAAAATCAATATTTTCAGAGCTCTGAAAATTAAGCAAAGCTTGCCACAATCTGATGAGTACTTATTCAAGAAAAATGGCTTAATCTCAGTAAGAACATTGACCTTTACGGTGTTTTTAACTGGCCCTATTCCCATTCCCAGCTCACAAATTCTAAAGTAGTCTTAAAAACCAATGAAAATCAGGAGTCTAGCAGCCACTGGACAGGGCAGAACAGGTCAGAAGCTCCCCAAAAGCCCCATTCCCAAAGACTTACTACTATTTGACAGTCGGGCAGCTCTATGAAAGCCACCATTTTCAGGGCTTGGTTTATTTGACCTGGCTCAGTGCACCCTCTGTGAGAACACCCATAACCCTAAAGTGCACGTCAAAAAAAACCCAGCGACATCATTCAGCCTTGTAGCTGCCTGAGGCAGTGATGTCAGGCGGGGCTAAGAAGAGGCTTACCAAAGAACTTAAAGTGAAAAAAACTGGGAATAAGATGTCCATAGGGGACTTTGAAAAGCTCCAAAATATTCCTGAGAATTTAGGATTACCATGCACATATGTAAAGGGCTGTGTACATACCCACCAAGAAAGACCTGAGAGGCTTTATCTCTCACTCTGGTTGACCCAAGGAAGCTCCACACAAACAGAAAGTGAAGGCTAAGGGAAAGTTGCAAACTGCTACTGAAACATTGAAAGTATATCCTGACACATACACAGAGCCCCTTGGCAAAGGCCGGCACACATATACACTCAAGTATTTAAAAATCTCTGTCCAGCCATCAGCTGACCACTAATCTAACTGAGCAGAGACTTCAATGGCAATACATGACAAAAAAATACTTTACAGAATTAGCCCAGGAAAATCACTGAGCAAAAAGAAAGAACAATCCTGGGTGGGAGTGAGGGAAAGGGGAGGGGAATCTGACTTCCAGAGATGCCACACTATATAATTTAAAATATCCAGTTTTCAACGTAAAATCATGAGATGTGGAAAAAGCAAACTGGAAAGTATGGCCTATCCACAGGAAAAAGAGCAGTCAACAGAAACTGTCCATACAGAAACTGAGGAAGCTCAGACATTGATCTTTCTTGACAAAGTCTTTAAATCCACTATTTTAAATATGTTCGAAAATCCATATAAAATCACGTCTAAAGAATTAAAATGTGAGAATGATTTCTCACCAAAAAAGAGAACATCAGTAAAGAGACAAAAATGACAAAAAAAGACAAAATAAAATTTTTAGAGTTGAAAAGTACAATAACTGAAATAATTCATGAGAGAAGCTCAACAGCAGATATGAACTGGCAGAATTAAAAAACTTGATGATAGGTCAACTGAGATTATCCAGTCTGAGGAACAATGAAAAAGATAAAGAAAAATGAATAAGCCTCAGAGACCTGTGAGACACAACCATGTGTTCCAATATAGGCATAATGGCAGTCCCAGAAGAAAAAGAAAGGGGCAAACAGAACATTTAAAGAAATAATGACTGAACACTCCCCAAATTAGTGAAAAACATTAATATGCACATTCAACAAGCTAAATGAATTTTAAGTACACACGTCATATTCAAATAATCAAAAACCAAAGATTTAAGCAATAAATATATCTAAATCTATACAGCATTTTCAACAAGTTTATTTAAGCATAAAGTAACATGTTTATTACAGAAATTTTTAAAACATAAATCAGAATGAAAATAATTCTTTCATAATCCAAAACAAAGAAATCACTCTTAATACCTTGGAGCATGTTTCCTAAGAATCTTTTTTTCCCCCTATATAGATTTTTGGTGAATTTTAAAAATAGTATAGTGGTAATCAAACTACGCAAATAATTTTGAGTTTTTAAAATCTATTATTATGTCCTGGGGAGGAATATTATTTAATTAAATCCAATCAAGTCAATTACGCTGGAAAAAAGTGAATCAGTCAAGGAATTGTAACGAATTGTGTGAAGCTGAGAAAAGTTCAACACGAGGTAGAGGTAGTGCTTACGGCAGATGTCCATGAAGAGCTGGCTACTTGAAGCTGAAAAGAACTGGTTTTCATTATTAAGTCAGAAGTAAGGGACAGTATTTAATGCTTCTAGGTCTAGAACAGTAGGTTAATCTTCACTTTTTGAAAAAATCTTAGCTACAGAAATAATTTTTCTCAGTTCCTTTGCTGATTTCCCTATCATAAGGAGAAGACTTCATCTAGGTGTTCCTGAGCCAAATATTAGTATTTTAGTACACAACGAATTCAGGGGCTTTCATAATTCAAATCATCAATACTGTTCAACTAACTACACATTGGACTAAAATTCCAAGATTTATTAATCCTTCATGTTTCTAAATTTCTATATTTGAAATACTGTTTGTAAAAATCCTCCCGCATGTTTAAAAATAAATTTATCAGGGCCGAGCCCATGGCGCACTTGGGAGAGTGCGGCGCTGGGAGGGCGGCGGGTTCGGATCCTATATAGGGATGACCGGTGCACTCACAGCGCTCACTGGCTGAGTGCAGTGCGGCCGGTCTCAAAAAGGACAAAAAATAAATAAATAAATAAATAAATTTATCATCTTTCATTTCATCATTTTCATTCCACTACTGAAGTTTTTGTATAGAAAAGTGTAAAATTATTATAAAAGAACTGTTTCTTTACTTGAAGAAATCTGTTTAATTTAGTAATACCGAGGATGACTCAGATTAAGATTTCAATGAATTTTAGAAACCAAAGAATGTCCTAAAACAGACTACAATCAGATTAAATAGGTAGGATTATTACTCACAAATAATTGGATATCCATCCCGGCTGGCACAGGCTGCCGCTAATATTCTTCCATTGTGGGAGAAATCAAGACAAAAACATCCTCGCTCTCCTGCATTTAGGGAGAAGAGGTGCTTGTTTGGGATACGGCAAGCCTAAAAAACATATATTTAAAAAATGTAAATTAGGAAACATTAAAATGCAAGAGCTAGTTGTTAAATTTAATTAATTTAGTGTTTTTTAAAGTCCCTTTACTGTAATGCAGAGGAAGAGAAAGCAAGTTAGCAGAATGATGAAAAACCACAGTAAATTATCTCCTAAACAAAGAATCAGTTCTCCATAAAATTTTAAGTGATTTTGTTCATGTCTACCTAGCACATAATTCAACTAAAATATGGGTAGAAAAATTTCAGCATCAGATACTCTAAAACTGTCACTGCCACATTTTTATGTAGCCATAAAAAAGAATGTATGTTACACCCTTATTCCATGACAGCAACTAATAAGTCACTTTTGCTAAGGTCACAAACTTGTTTTAAGACCACAAATGCCCTACAGGCCCTAGCTAAGTCCAGGATCTCTGAATGTTTATACTCTCTTTTTCTCTTAAAATAACCAAGCTTTGTGGCTACCTTCCAAAATGTATTTTAAAAGTAAAAATCACCCCCTATTGGTCTCTCATTCATTAATTATATTATAGTTTCATCATAATTTTTATGTTTTCATTACTTATTACCATAAATTTTGGGGGTATTAATATCTATTGTAGAAAATACTACTTACTTTTATTTATCTTAATTCTACATCTTCCAATCTTCAGTGAGCCTTACAGTTCCTGTATTTCTTATTATTTGAAAAAGTGAATTAAACATATACTGGGTCCTTACTATATACCATGAATGTTGTACCTTATTACAACGTCTTTGAATATATTCATCACAGTAACTAATATTAGCTAAGTATAACCATTATTAGCTATATATAGCTAATAAGGATTATTCAGAGGATCAAGCCCAGCTTAACAGGCTTAATCAAAAACTATTAGTTCAAAGGCTTGCCTTCTAGATCGGTACTAGGTGGTTCACAACTAGCATCAAAATTTAGCAATACCTTGGGAGGCAGCATTATGAGCAGCTACTAGGAATGTGGAAAATTCAACAGATTTCTTAGATGTCAATAACATATCAGATACCATACTACCTATCTTTTTCCTCCACTCTCCAACCAGATAATTAAGAAAAGGGAGAGGGCTGGAAGAAGGGGAGAAAAACTGAAGGAAATGTCAAGAGGTTTTCTAGCCACTCTTTTTTGCTAGTTGCTGCTGCTCCTAGAGTAAGAAGTACTAAAGTCACAATCACGTTCTTTGTATTCCCAGAGTTTGACGTTGTGCCCTACCAAGACTAGGCACTCAATGAAAGTTTGCTAAAAACAATAAAGGTCCTCAACAGTTTTGACTCTTCCCCTTCTTTACTTCCTCATCAGTCACTAAATCATACTGGTTATTACTTTCTGTCTCTTGTATTTGCCTCTTATTTTTTATTTTTGCCACCATTAACCCAAAGTTAGATCCTCATCACCTCACACATCAATGACCGCAACTGCGACCTAGATTTCTCTAATTCTAATGTATCCTACTTCAAGACGTCCCACACGCCACTGTCAGCATTAATCTGTCCTAAAATACAATTGTTATAATGCTTCTCTCCTACTCCAAAACCTTCCATTATTTCTCACATCCCGCACAATTATTAGGCTACCATTTGAGACACTCCACAATGTGGGCCTAATCAATCACACCACTTATCACTTACACAAATTCTGGTTACCAGCCAGTCAAGTTTTTGAATCTCTAATAAATATAACAGGTCTTTTCCCACTTATTTACAACTTTGCCTCCATATGAAACGCCTTTCCTTATCCCTCTTCACCCACCTCTGACTTGCCCATCCTAGTCTAGCTCGAGCTCCACCAGTGTGTTGAATGAACCCTTCCTTCCACCATTCCAGTTCCCCTTCCTCATATCTGCAACTCTCAAACTTTAGTTTTAGGATGCTTTATAGCCTAAAAAATTTTTGAGGATCTCCAGAAGTTCTTGCTTATGTGGATATATTTACAGATGTTTATCATATTAGAAATTAAAATTGAGAAATTTAAAAAATATTTAATTCATTAAATAATATTAAATAATAGTAGCAAACCCATTAAATTTAACATAATGTCTTTTTATTAAAAATACATAAAATGGAATTATTTTATATTTAAAAAAATTTAATATCTAGCTTAATAAAAGCTAGATTTTCATCACTGCTTTTTTGACTCTGTGGTATCACATGTCATTTAGCCTCTGGAAAATCTCTAGTGTATACTTGTGAGAAAATGAAAGCAAAAAAACCTTAGAATCATTATGAAAAGAGGCTGACTTCAAGGACCCCCTGAAAGTGTCTCAGGACTTCCCAAGGTCCTCAAACCACACTTTCAGAACTGTTAATATGCACATTTTTATGCTTATCTTTCCTCAAGACTTCTCTGAGGCATACCTCAAAATAACAACATTGCAACTGCTTTCTTCTTTTCCCACCTTACATGGAAGATACCCAAGTGCGTAATCTAAGTGTTATTCTCTCCATATTATTACATTTGAAGTTTTCCAACTCTGAGAAAGTGATTTTAAAATGTATCTGTAAAATTGGTCTCAAAAAGAAAGTCAGATGTATGCAAAATGGAAAATAAAGAGGTCTAAATAAGAATAATAAATTCTTATTTTTATATTGGATAATGAGATAAGATTTTGGGTAAATTTCATCTGATAATGACTCAGATGTATAAAATGAATCACTCCATTTCTTTGTGAAAACAAGTAAGAAATATGCAAAATTTTATCAGCAATCCCTCTTGCCACAGCAAAAAAATGTCAATCAAGTAAGAAAACTTTAGTAAAAGCTTAATTGCTGCTCAGCTTGTCACAGAAGAATATGCATGTACATATCCCCATAAAATGTGGTTCAGGAAGAAGGCAGGGGCTGTAAAAAATTTCATGAATCCATAAATATTAGGAGGTATATCTCTTACAGACATCCAAAAAATCTACATTTTTTGACTGCTGGTATGAGTTGAATTGTGTCCCCATCTCAAGATTCATGTTAAAGCCCTAATCCCCAATAACTCAGAATGTAATAGTATTTGGAGAAAAGGTCTTTAAAGAGGTGATTAAGTTAAAATGAGGTCATTAGGGTAGGGCCCTAGTCCAATAGGACTGATGTCCTCCTAAGGGAGAGACACCAGGGATGTACACACTCAAAGAAAAGACCACGTGAAGCAGCAAGAAGGCAGCCATCTGCAAGCCAAGGAAAGGCCTCAGAGGAAACCAACCCTGCCGGTACCTTGATCTTTGCTATGGACTGAATACTTATGTCCCCTCAAAGTTCATATGTTGAAGCCCTAATCCCCATGTGATGGTATTTAAGAGGTGGGGCCTTTGGGAGGTAATTAGGTCATGAGGGTGCAGCCCTTGTGAATGGGGTAAGTACCCTTATAAGAAGAGACATGAAAGAGATGATCTCTCTCTCCGCTGTGTGAGGATATAGCAAGGAGTAGGTCATTTGCAAACCAGGAAGAAGACTGTCACCATGAACCAATTTGGCTAATACCCTGATGTTGAATTTCCCAGCTTCCAGAACTGTAAAAAAGGTCTGCTGTTTAGCCACCCAGTCTGTGGCATTTTGTTATGGCAACCCTAGAAAACTAATATAATTTCCTAGGTGCCCAGAGAACCTAAGATAGTGCTTCTATGAACATGATGGGCACCAAATGATGGTTAAGTACAAGGATAACCTGAGCATTTTAAGTAATAAGCTAAGTACCCTAGGAGCTGTTAGAGTTTTTAAGGTAATAAGTAAATATATAAATGAACCCAGTACTATCAAACACTTCACCTGCCCGGGCAGTCGTTTCCACTTCACTACTTCCTTTGAATCTTCTAATCCAGGTTCTGTATCTACTGAACTTGACTCATGGTGACGTTCGCAATACACTGGTTTTTCCTCCTGAAGAGCCATCATAGAGCGGTAAGACGGCTTTATCTAATATGTATAGAAAATGAGCAAATTTATATATCATGTTCATCTTTTCTCCAGCATATATTGTCTTTAAAATATTAAAACAAACAATACAAAAATGTTTTCAAATTCAATCCAGAAAAATTTTATTTGTACATTATTCTAAATAAAATAAAAACTACTAGAAACTATAGATCTATGACCAAAAAGCCTTAAAAGTTTGGGAAAAAAATTAGGACTCCAATGGTTACACAAAATTGTTTTAATAACTGTGTCCCTTTGTTTCCACTTCTTCACCAACACCTACCAGATGTTATGCCATGGCTCTGACATATTATGATATATCTGGCTTTAAAAATCACAAAACTAATATCATAAAAATCTAAAGTTTTTAAAATCCTCATTTCTTAATGACAAATTTTATTTAACTCTATTCAAACCAATGCAAACCAACCCTGTGGTCACAGGATATAATATCAGCTACAGAATGTGCTATTAACCTGAAAGATTAATGTCTTGTAACAAATGAGACAAAAGCAAAAGTTTTTCATTTTAGGAACAATTCTTTGTTAAGATCATTTGTAATATTAGTCTATGGAAAATAGCATTAGAAATATTATTTAATGTTTATTTGAATAATATCGTGACAATAATACTGCTTTAAATCATCCCTTTATCTTTTATTTTTAAAAATCAAGTTATAATAAAACATTTTTCCTAACACTGAAATCTGCATTTAATATTTAAAATTCATTTAAGTATCTTTTAAGTATCAGCAATTACAGGTTTAATATATAATCGCTGAAGGTACCTTTCTATTTCAAAAGTCTATTAATGTTAGAGATCTTTTCTTTTTAGAAATGGATAATATGTCACTAATTTCAATACTTACACAGTCTGGAACTTTCAGTCCTCTAACGGTTACATACAATGTTGATGGATAACGATTTCTTGGACATTTTGACCACCATTCAAAAACCTCAACAACATTTGATTGGGATCGAGGCTTAGCAGGTGGGTAATACAGCTGCAAGCGAAGTTTTGAATTGATGTTTGCATTTCCATTGGCTCCCAGTAGCTTAAAAATTCATATAAAATGTTACCTTCATTGAAAATAAATACATCCAACAAAGCATGCTGAAATTTCTTAGATTTATGAAGCAAAGGAAAGAACACTGACACAGTTGGTTAACCACAGTTCCAGATTAGTAACAAAGGTAACCCAAATGACTTTTAAAATATTTTCCCGATAACTGTCTTTTCACCTGTACAACTCACAGACTGTTGGTGAAGCACTTACATTACTGTGCCAGATTTCACTTTGTACAAAGTGTATCACCTCACAAAGGAGGTAGGTGATCAATACAGATTTCTATGAAATAATAGTGATAGAGATTAAAATGCATATTTTCCATACAGAAACATATTTTCCATTTGTTTTGTATTGGTATTTTTAATGGTTAAAATTTTATGTTTTAATTTTTGAAAAGTCAAAATCATCTTAAGATAATAAAACTCATTCAGTTATATTTTTCAATATTTTAGTCTATCTTCTTAAAATGGCCTATTAAAAAATATTTGTTGGGGCCGGCCTGGTGGCACACTGCTACAGTGGGCCGCTTGGGAGCGTGGCGGCGCTCCTGCCAAGGGTTTGGATCCCACATACAGACTGGTTCCCGCTCACTGGCTGAGCGAGGTACAGGCGCAACACCGAGGGTTGCGATCCCGTTGCCGGTCCGGTCTGGTACGGGCGCGACACTGAGGGTTGCGATCTGTTGCCGGACACGAAAAAAGACAAAAAGGAAAAAAAAAATTTGTTAAGCAAAATAAAACCTATATTTAAGCTAAATAAATATTCTTTTTTTTTTCCTTTTTTGTCTTTTTTACTGACCGGTAATGGGATCGCAACCCTCGGTGTCGCGCCCGCACCGCGCTCAGCCAGTGAGCGGGAACCGGTCTCCACATGGGATCCGAACCCTCGGCGGGAGCGCCGCCGCGCTCCCAAGCGGCGCACTCTCCAGTGCGCCACCGGGCCGGCCCTAAATAAATATTCTTAAGAGAAAAATAAAAAATCTCACCAACTCAAAGTACACATGTCTTTTTAACCTTTTTGTTTTCTACAAATTAGGAATAAAGAGATAGCTAGAAGCCTTTACAGGCAGAATATAAAGGTGACTTAAACTAGAGAGTAAGCCCTGAGTGCAGGGAGCATTTAAAAACCGTTATTGACTGAGGCAATTTGGAAAGTGAAAAAAAAGAGTCAAGAAATACTCTAAGGTAGTGCTGTTCAACAGAGCATTCCACGATGATGGGAATGCTCTGCATTTATTCTGTACAATAAGGAATCAACATGTGGCTTCTGAGCACTTAAAATGTGGCTAGTACAATGGGGAACTAAATTTAAATTATATTTAATTTTAATTAATTTGAATTCAAATAGCCATATGTGACTCATGGCTACCAAAACAGACAGTGCAGCTCTAAGGTTTTAAATCTGGGACACTGAGCAGATGGTGGTATTTACCAATTGAAGAAGCAGAGAGAGAAGGAATAAGAGATTAGGTAGAGGAGAAACAGGAAATGATGTGTCAAGAAACCAAGGTAACAGTTTCAAGAGTGTGATGTATTAAATGCACATAGGTGTGACAAAATAAGAACTGAAAGATATTCAATTTATTTGGTAAAAAGACATCATTAGTAATTTGGTTGAAGAAGCTTTAGTGGTAGAGGCAAAATCCAGATTGTTGTGTGCTCAGAAATGATGCATCAACAAGGATGGCAAAATACAACCGACCTTTTCCCCTACTCCTCTGAAAAAGAGGGGGTCATATTACGATCACTGCCAAATGATACAGAGGGGTGAAGAACAGTTTCAAATAGAGTAAGAGAGATGTTCAGTCATTAAAAATTAAGCACTCTAGACTCTCTTCATAAATCCTCCCACTGTTTACCCCAATTTTATCATAGTAATTTTAAGGAGATATCCTCCAGCTTCTAAATCACACTTTCCATAATTTATTTTAACATTCACTGGGCAATCTAGTTTACACTAGTATGTTGCTTAGCATGAACAACTAAGATCCAGCCAAGACCCTGCCATTATGATTACAAGTTATGTAACATAGAGATCAAATAAATAAGGTTTTGTTATTTTATAATTTAAATGAATGGTCACATACATATGCTAAAAAATTGAAAGTGCCTGAGGACCTGAGGCATAGCTGAGAATTAGGATAAAGGATCATTTGGACCACTATAATAACTTTACAATTATCTAAGCCTGGAACCAACAGTATAGGTAATAAAACATTTACATTTTAATTTGATTCATGCCATTTTCTTGGATATGATTTTTATCTAAGCCATTCTTTACATCCATTTATTAATTCTCTCAATAAATATTCACCAACCACATTTTGTGTGCCCTTAATATGGAATAGAAAGTTTCAAGAGAGTGATATTTTAAAAGCAAAAAGATGTAGTAAAATAAGGATTAAGAATGTTCAGCAAGGGCCGGCCCCGTGGTGCACTCGGGAGAGTGCAGCACTTGGGAGAGCAGCGGTGCTCCCGCCGCGGGTTCGGATCCTATATAAGGATGGCTGGTACGCTCACTGGCTGAGCGCGGTGCAGGCGACGCCAAGCCAAGGGTTGCGATCCACTTACCGGTCACGAAAAAAGACAAAAAAAACAGAATGTTCAGCAAATTTACCAAAAAGAAGTCAATGGTGCCTTTGAGAAGCTTACAGTCTAATAAAGTAGATAAGTGTTACAATAAGGGAAGCACACAATACCTTACCCTTTACAGAAGGTGAGAATGGGATCAGGGAGAATTCTTGATAGAAATTTCTGCCAGTGGCATAAGATGGATTAATAAATAAAAATCCATATAGTAGGGCTGACCCCGTGGCGCACTCGGGAGAGTGTGGTGCTGGGAGCGCAGCAGCGCTCCCGCTGAAGGTTCAGATCCTATATAGGGATGGCCGGTGAGCTCACTGGCTGAGCGCGGTGCGGATGCCACCAAGCCAAGGGTTGCGATCCCCTTACCGGTCACAAAAAAGACAAAAAAAAAAAAAAAAAAAACAAAAAAAAACCCATATAGTACTCAAAGGTAAAAATGTTATGAAATATGTTGTTTCCCAAGCACAATTTATAGTAAATACTGCAGGTCTGCATAAACCTCAGCATAAAGGAAATGAAAGAGTTTCTAATAAAACCACAAGATGGCAATGTTTTCTATGTTAAAGTGGACTTTTTGGGGCTTTTTTGTTTGTTTTTGTGCTAAATCAGTATGGGTGGGGGAACAGAAAACGGTATAAATGGGTGGTTTTAGATGGTACATCAGATCAAGTGATTCCTAAGGCCACTCTCAAATTATTTCCTCACCACAGCCAATCTGGCTGCCATTCCCCAGTCCACATACATCTCTTGTAAAGCCTCTCTCTCTAACCCCCAGTGTGCACTAAATGCCTCAACTGGGTTTTCAAAGCATCTACTCTAAAGCAAATAATCAAGTGAGTAGTACATTTATACAGAAACTGAATTGGAGGGCAAGTATAATGTCTTTTTTATTTATAAATTCTCTATATTTAGAAGAGTGGCTTGCATTTCATAGACACGTGTTCAATGTTTGTTGAATGAATGTATGCAGAAATGGAATGGTTTTTATAAGAGTACAATATAAGCTAATTACTCAAGACTTCACAGTTCAAATTTATGTTTAAGTCAGAAATGAAGGATACCAGGAATAAAAGATAATTATAAAATTAAATTTTTCTTTTTTGACCCCAGTCTATGTCTTTCATCTCTGCTGATACATCCTAGTCAAAGACACCATCATTTTGTAGTTAGACTACTGTAAGAATTTTTAAATTTGATCTTCCAGTATCTCCATTTACTCTCTAATCCATTCTCCACATAGTAGAGTAATCTTTCTAAAACATAAATCAGATTGTTTTATCCTTTTGTTTAAAATCCTATAATGGCTTCCCATTGCTCTTTAAAATTCTATAATGGGTTCCTGTTGCTATAATGGCTTAGAAAACCCTATCGACCTCAGCAACCTCTTCATGCACCGTTCTTCCTCTCAGTCTCTGTCCTCTAATCTCAGTGGCCTTCTTTTGGTAATCTGAGTATACCTGGCTCCCTCCAACATCAGGGTCTTTGCATATATTTACCCTCTATCTAGACCTCTTCTTTCCCACTGCCACTACATGGCTAATGCTCAGGTTAAATATCTCTTCCTTAAGAAAACTTTCCCTGACCCCACAGGACCCTTGTTTTCATCATCTACCTCATAACTCTTCAAAGTTATTTATAAAAATTGTAATTAAATGATAAATTGTATAATCAGTTGTTTTATGTTTGTTTTTCTTGCTAAAATATGAAGTCCATGAGGTCAAGGAATTTGTCTTGTTCACTGACTAGAACAGTGGCTGGCACAAAGGGGCCTAATTAATATTTGCTGAACTGAATAAATAAATGATGGCACAGCTATGTGTCTTTTTCAATGCTAAATCCTCAGAGCCAAATAGTGTAACTGGCATACACCAGGCACTCAATAAATACTTAAGAATCTGAATGACCATCACCAGAGCTTTAGTTAATAACTCTTCACCACTACAATCTTACAATAGATCATAACTCCTTAAATGAGACCAAACTGATTTGGGAAAAAGCAGCCAATCAGATTTAAAGATTACTTTAAAGTGTTTAACATGGATAAAAAACATACCTTAAGAAAGGCCCAGGCAATTTTCCGAAAGCCACATTCTTGGTTTTGAATCTCTGAGTTATTCTTAATTTCATCCATGCTTAAGAAATCAAGAATCTGTAAATTAATTCAAAAAATTACTTCTCAGAATACCAGACTACATAAAATTTAATATTTTATAATAAATTATTAAAATTTAAAAAATCATTCATATACCTCAAACGTTTCCTTTATAGAGAAAACATTTTTATCTCATTGCATTTGCCTTAATGTTAACACATCTAGTTAGTAAGTGTCCAATTTTTAACCACTTTATCTTTATTAATAAATCTTTTATTAAGATTTATTTCAAATCCAAGGCAAAGTATTAACTACCTCAAATATAGTCTAGGCACAAATATACCAGGCACAGAATTCTTAAGTTTTGATCATTTTTTATTCATCAGAGCAGACTTCAAAGGATTGTTTAAACAACGTGTGGCCCTATTTCTGGGTTGTTGCTTGGATTACCTTCTGGAAGTTGGGGGTTCACTCTTTGGAAATCTGTTGTAATTAGGCTTCTCAAGAGAGTTTCTTTCATACTTCCATCCTGACTGGATGTTAAAGTTCATGGATTTGCAAATAACCTGCCAGATACTGTCTATGTGCTTATCAAAAACTCAGTTGAAATAACAAATCTTTATAGAAGACTGCTTAAAAATAAAATGAACCCATTAACCCCTCATAGTTAAGTACTTACATCTTTTTTCAGATATAATACACTTTCAGAGAAAAAACACTGACAATATAGAAAAATACATAAGCAAAGTAAAAACAACTTGTAATCCAGACCCATACATAATCACCATTAACATCTGTTTTATATATATCTAAACCTTTTTCTCTGCATTCTTACATGTATGTATGGGACTACAAATCCAATACATGCTATTTCACAAACTATTTTCATATAATACATGTCAATATATACACACGTCAATACATCTCTTCATGTCAATACATACATATGTATGTATTGTCATCATGTTAATGGCTGCCTAGTATTCTTCTGTACTATAAATTTAATAAAAACCATAATTTATTTAACCAAATCTCTTACTGATTGAAATTTAGGTTCTTTTACGTCCCTAAAATTTTTGATATTATAAACAGTGCTGAAATAGATATCCTTGCACATACATTTTTGTGTACTGATCATTTTTTTCTTAGCATAAATATCTAGAAGTGGAATAATGGTATTAAAGACTTCTGATAGACATTATCAAGTTGTCCTCAATAAACCCTTAAGTTGAAATTAAAAAGCAGTTGTATAGGCAATAACACATTATTTTAAAACTTAAGCAATCAAAAGTGTTTATAATCCCATCTCTTGTTCTTAAATCTTTTAATGCTAAAATGAATATTAAAAAAACTTTAAAATAGATAACAAATGACAAATTTCTATGACAAAGAAAAAGTTCTTTTGATACAAATTATATCACTTCTTCAAAAATCACAGCTTTATGAAATCACACACAACACTGTCAATAATGTAAAAGGTGGAATATTTGTATCGTAACACATGTAAATAATTTGAAAGTCAAGGACATAAAAACAAGTAACTCTACAAAATGAATTACCAGCTCTGATGAGGTTCTCATGCTAAAATTCTCCATCTTGTTTAAACTAGAAGGGATGCTTTCTCTATTTCCATTTGCTTATGGAGAGAACATGAGACAGAGTAAAGAAATGTGGTATTTTAGGTTTAATCTATCTTCAAATACAAATTACATACACTTAAAATTGGAGTAACTTTAGGAAAATCATTTATACTCCAAACCCTGATTTCCTTTTCAGTAAAAAAAAAAATTAGAATAACAAGTCAGCTCAAAAGCCTTCTTCTCCATAAAGCTTTCCCTCACTGCTCTGATACTCCACTAACCCTTTATATGTAAGAAGTTCTATTATCATTTCTGGTTATATATTACAATGTGTGAGTCAACTGACCTGTGCATGTTTACCTTTATTTATTCAGGTAGTACACATACTTTTAGGGAGTTTGATACAGTATAGATTAGATTCATCACTTCAGTTAATAGTCATGGGGTTGTTATAAGAATTAAATGCTATAGGGCCAGCCCGGTGGCGCACTGGAGAGTGCGCCACTTGGGAGCGCGGCAGCGCTCGCACCAAGGGTTCGGATCCCATGTGGAGACCGGTTCCCGCTCACTGGCTTAGCGCGGTGCAGGCGCAACACCGAGGGTTGCGATCCCGTTGCCGGTCCCCGGTACGGGCGCGACACCAAGGGTTGCAATCCCGTTACCAGTCAGTAAAAAAGAGACAAAAAGAAAAAAAAAAAAAGAATTAATTGCTATAGAGGTCAAATGGCTAACTACTGACTCTAACAGCAAATATGCTATCACTGTTGTGAAAAAGGGCCTCTCACTTATACCTCCACAGCATATTACAAACACTAAATCTTAGAGATTAAATTCCCACACTACTTTGTTGCATTATTGAACTATTAAAAATAATAGCTTACATTTGTGCTATTAAATATTAACTAAAATTTAGTTTAAATTGCTTATTCAATTCATACCTCAAAGAACAGGATGACTTTAGGACTCTCATCAAAATCTCGAAGCAAATAGGGAAAATTTTCATTAAATATAATTTGTTCTTCCCACTCTGGAAGTCTTGATTTTAACTGTTTAAAATCATATGGCTGGGTCATAATAGGGAGAATATAATCCACACTCTCTTTTTCATAGTAAGATGAAACAGGCCGTTCACTGTTCAAAAAAGAGATACTTCCATCAACATAATTCATCATGATAATTTTGAAAGTGGAAAAAAAAAATACATAGTGTACAAGTGAGACAACCAGAAATAATGAATAGCCATAATGATACAGAAAAAAACTTATTTTGATTGTCCACCTAGAAAATTATAAATTTTATGAGACTTACTAGTAGTGCCTATCACCTTGTGATATTCTATCATTGGTTTCACAGAATTATTTTATTACAAAAATACAAAATGAAAGGTATGATTACACTTTCATCACACAGAGCCAGAATAAAGTAATTTCTTCAGAATTTTAAATGAGTTTGTGATAAAACAGTACAGATTTATTTACATAAAAAAGTGAGTACAAGATTGTAAACCCTTTGAGCTGTCCTATTTTCTTTTTATGCCTTAAGACAACTGAATAAGTGAATGACCCTTTTTTTTGGACAATCTTCATGCTTCTCACCCTTCCCATCTTTCCAAGCAAATTTTGAATTCTAGCACAATCATTGATTCTACTGTACTTTTTATTTGGGTCTTCAAGCATGTATTAACTATAGAAGTAATCTTAGAAAAAAATTCAAGATTCATTTACCCCACTTGAAGCCCAGGTAGCATATTAATTTCCAAAGAAAAATATGAGGCTCAACAACTAAAGCACTTACAGTGCAAGAGAAGATGATTCACAGTACAACTTTTATGCTATAAATTAGTCATTAAGCTTGGTAGAAGCTCTCTACCACTTAAAATGAATTACTCCAATCCACTTAAAATTAAGTAATGAACTAACCGATGTTCTCCATTTCTTTTATAAAACATACTGATCAATGTCGGTGGTTGATGAACACCTACAAGTAGTAGACTTTTTTAATACAAACCCATAGCTCTATTCCCAGTGACTTTCAATTACCAACGGCAGAAAAGAGGATTTCTATTGTAGACAGAGTGAATTTCAAGGGTTAGCTGTGGAATTAAAAAAAATTACCTATCATCTTTCTTCACATATTGACCAGTATTCTCATCAACCACATGAATTTTTACCATCGGGTGAGAAATCATAAAATCTGACTTAAGTCGGTCAGTTCGGTGAATATAAACTCCCAGGACAAGGTCATCTTCAAGCAAACATTTGGGATAAACTGGACTATCTCGGCTTGTTATTTCATGAACACCATCACCAGCAATGTCTTCACTGTCATCTGAAACTAAATTCACAAAAGAACACCAATGTTCTAAATAATTGTTTCCATACTTGGGTTTACATATAACCTAATCTTTATGATCTAAACTATTTCACTGTAAACAAAGGAACTTCAAGAGAAAAGAAAAAAAAAAAAAAAGCCAGACAGCAGCAGACTACACTATGAGAGTAAAATACTACATTTATGAATGCACTAAAATAGGGTAAGAAATATATATTTTTTCCCCCTAACAAGAACCAACAAGTGAGAGTCAAAGATTAAAAAAAGTAATTTCATCTAGGTATTTTCTAAGTGGAATATATGTAACTCAAATCATTTTTAACTGAAATTTCTGCTTCTGGGTAGGATGCAGATCAAGGCTTTGGATAAAAACAATTGGAAAAAGCCAAATAAATGACAAAACCCTTTTCTATTTTTCCCTTCTGTTACCTCTACCCTGTCCTACAAAACCTTTATTTTAAAGGCATCAGAAAAATATCAGCATCTATTAGATGGACTAAAATTCCAGAGAAGTACAATCAGTCAGAAGTAAGCTGATGGACTAGAAGCTGTTTTTGTCTGTAAGACATTTGCTGACTCAGGACGTGGAGCTGAGGATCAGAGTTTGGCCCAGGCAGAAGGTCACTGCTAAAAGAAAAAGAAACCAGCAAAACTTTTAGTGGTTCCATGGGACTAAAGTGATAAAACTGGAGACTTGAGGAGCCTCAAACACATGGAGATTTTCCTCACAAAACCGAATTCTGAGGCTATTGAGAGACTAAAAAGGTGGTGAAAACACTTGTCGGCTAGAAGACCATTACCCTGACCCAGCAGGGGAACGGACCCTAAACAAAACAGGCAAACTTAAAGCCCTGGAGGATGTAGTAAATTTACATTGAGGATCTATAGCCACTTTTCACCTTGGTTCACTTCCTAATTCTTGGTGTAGTTAGACATTAAGAATCCAGACGTGACCCCAGGAAGAAGGCCACTATATGGGACATAGAAATCAGCAGAAACTTTAGCATTCACATGGGGCTGGAAGGACAAAATTGGAGAATTGAGGGGCCTGAAGCATATGGCCAGTTTTCTCCTCAAGTCATTTGCTAAATTATAAAGCTGCATAAGGCAAAAGGCAAAAAGGGCTAAGCTGAAAAGCACTGATGGACAAAACTGAATCACCCATAATCTATTAAGGCTGAAGAGACAAATACCTGCCAGGCTCTCGATCTGCAACACCTGGAAGGCCACAGCGTAGGAACTGGTCAAATCATAGGTAGAGTCTCACCAAAACTACAATCTAGCCCTGACCTAGCTCAATTCCTTACTGTCTGAAATCAGCTTCCCACCCTATCTGCCTAAGAGAGGAAAGGGGAAAACCCTCCCTAATGGAAGATAAAATCATCTGGGACCTCTAGAATTCTATACACAATGTCCAGCATATAATAAAAAGTTACTGGACATAAAAGAGGCAAGACCATATCACCAATAATCAAGAGAAAGAACAGACAACAGAAACAGACCCACACATAATCCACATTGAATTTAGTATATAAGGACTTTAAAATAACTGTGATTAATATACTCAAGAAAATAAAGAAAAACATAGGCAAAAGTTTTAAAAATGGAGATTTTTCTACAGAGAATTGGAATCCATAAAAAAATTCTAGAACTGAAAATACAATATCTGAAATTATGAAATCAACAGATGTATCTTAGCATAAGGGACACAAGGAAGACAAGACTGGAGAACCGGAAGGTCAATATAAATATCCAAACTGAAGCATAATGAAAAAGAAATCATAGAGAAAGAGAATATAAGAAACATGTGGACATACTCAAAAGAACTAGTGTATGTGAAATTATAATCTAGAAAAAAAGAGGAGAGAATGATAAAGAAGCCATATTCAAAGAAATAAGTGAACAAGAATTTTCCACAAGTGATAAACGATATCAACCAATGAACTCTATGCAGGATAAAGTCTAACAAAACCCTATTAGGCACGTCATGATAAAACATTGAAACCATCCAGAGAAAAAAAGACATATTCCCTTCAAAGGGACAGAAATAAGACTGCAGCTGGGAACAGAAATGATGGAAGCCAGAAGACTATTGTATGATTTCTTTAAAGTACTAAAAGAAAATAGCTTGCAACCTAAAAATCTATACTAGCAAATATCATTCAAAAATGAAGGAAAAGTAAAGTCATTTTAAACACAACAAAATCTGAGGGAATCAGCAGGTCTTCACTAAGAGAAATACTAAAGGGAGTTCAAGCTGATGAAAAGTGGAAAATTGGAAATTCATTAAGGGTAAATTTTGGGGTGAAAATAAATGAACATAAACTGGATAAAATGGTAACTGTTAACACAAGAGGTCATCAAAAAACTCAGGGAAAAATTTGTATTATCTTGTAATTCAATTTCCCCACACACTTTTTGAAGTACCCTAGTATATGAGAAGTTAAAATACACGTAGAACTAAGATGCATGACAAAAAGAACCCATAAGGCAGGAGAGGGATAAATGGAATTAAACTATTCTAATGTTCTAGCAGTCTTGAGGAAGTGTACTCTATTGGGGAATTAACTTGTATTAGATTATAATAAGCCAAGAATAAACTTAATGCTCTTCAGTGTAATGATTAAAAATAGTAAGCTAATATATAATTAACAGGCTAATAGGAAAAAAAAATTTAAATCTTGAATAACTCAAAATAAGACAAGGAGAAAAAGGAAAATAAAATAGGTGGATCAGACAGAAAACAGATAATACACATAATACAATGTCAGGAGGACTGCAAACAAGAGAATGGAGAAAAATGCATTATGCAAATTCAAATCACAAGTAGACTTTAAGAGAAAATGAATGATTAGAGATAAAGGACATAGCATAACGATAAAAGTGTCAATTTGACAGAAGATATAACAAATATGCATATATTCAATAATACAGCTTCAAAATATATAAAGATTGACAGAAATATAAAGAAAAATAAACCCACAATCATAGTGGGAATTTTAATACCCCTGTAAATAGCTGACAGAATAGCAGTCCAAAAAAAAAAAAATCAGTGATGACCTGAATATAATTAAACTTGATCTAACACACACACATAGGACACTGCACTCAATAACATCAGAATTTACATCTTTTCGGGCCGGCCCGGTGGCGCACTGGATAGTGTGCCGCTTGGGAAGTGCGGCGGCGCTCCCGCCCGAGGGTTCGGATCCCACATATAGACCGGTTCCCGCTCACTGGCTGAGCGAGGCGCGGGAGCGATGCCGAGGGTTGCGATCCCGTCGCCGGTCCCCGGTCCGGTAAGGGGGCAACACTGAGGGTTGCGATCCATTGCCGGACACGGAAAAAGACAAAAGACAAAAAAAAAAAAAAAAAAAGAATTTACATCTTTTCCAAGTGCACATGGAATATTTACCAAAACTGATTATAAAAAGGTCATATGAAAGCCTCAATAAACTGAAAAGATTGAAATCATTTACAATGTTCTCTGACAACAATGGAAGATAGAAACCAGTAACAAAAAGATAACTAGAATATTAACTGCTGCCTGAAACTAAGGAACATAGTTTTAAATAATATATGATCAAATATACTAAAATGGAAATTAGAAATTATTTTTTTCTAAGTGATAATGAAGATACAGAATATCAAAAACTTGGGGGACACAGCGACAGAATTTCTTAGATGAAAATTTAAAGTCTTAAAGGCATATAAAAGACAGACTGAAATCTTTCTTATAAAATCTACCTTATAAAGGTAGAAATAAACAGCAAATAAAACCCAAAGAAAGTAGAAAGTAATATACATTGTAGAAGAAATCACTAAAACAGTATACAAATATACAATAGAGAAAATCAAAGCTAAAGGTTGGTTCTTTGAAAAGATTCATAAAATAGAAATCCTGAGACTGAGGAACAAATTGGGGAAAAATAAACTATCAATATCATGAATGAAGAAACAGAAAATCCTTTCAGATGCTATAGACATTCGAAATTTGAAAATCTGGATTAACTAGACATATTTCTAAAAAAAATATATAGTTTATCAAAGGTGAGAGAAGAAACAGAAAATATGAAGAGTATGGTATTTACTAAAGAAACTAACTCTGATTAAAAATTCTTCCTGCAAAGAAAATCTCAGCCTAAAAGGCTTTATCAGTAAATTCTTCCAAACATTTATGGAAGAAATAGCACCCATCTATACATTTATAAAAAGAAAGGGGTAAAATTTATATGATTATGTTGAATAATACAGAAAAAGCACTGGACAAAATTCAATATCCATTCATGACAAAAAATTAAACCATTGGAGAAGGGATATAAAGTAACTGCTTTAATCTGATAAAGGGTATTTACAAAAAAATAGGCAAACATCACCCTCAATGGTGAAATAATGGAAGCTTTCCCTCAAGGCCGGTAAGAGAAGGATATCTGTTATAGCCACTTCTATTTAACACTATAATGCAAGTCCTAGCCAGATTATCAAGAGCAAGAAGGAATAAGGCATAACAGTGAGTGAAAAAATTCACGCACAGAGAATCATATTTATGATTCTATTCATATTAAAGTAAAAAAATAGGCATAAATAAACTGTTAGATAGGCAGGGTAGTGTTTACTCCATAGGACAGCCAACTAAAAGGGGACTTAAGCAGGGGCTCTGGGTGCTAATGATGTTCTGTTTCTTAATTTAGATACTGATTTTATAAATATGTTCAGTTTGTGAAAATTCTTTAAGCAGTACATTTATGATATGTATACTTTCTATATGTATATTATGCTCCAACAGAAGTTTTTAAAAATATAATTATAGCAATCACAAAACATCAATTGCATCCTCCAATAAATAAGTGCCATAAATTCTAAAACTGCCTATTTTAGTCCCAATTTTTGGCCAATTAAATAGAAACTGAAAAGTAAAAAAGGATGTAATAAGTAGGAAAAAGGCAAGAATAAATAAAGACAAATAAGAAGTAAGAAATGAGAAAAGGGGAAGATAGCAACAGGTAAAAAGGAAAGTTGGAAAAGGAGAGAAGATGAATTAAGTTGAGGATTGGGAGATACCACATTTGACAGAGGGATGCAGCCCTAATATCCAAAATGTTCACTGGGTTGACCATTTATAGCTTCCAATAACTGAGTCTTAACCGACGAAGGGCTCTAAACTCAACAGTTTAAAGAAGAATTTGTCTATGCCACAACAGCAACTACAAGGTCAATATCATTCTAGAGTTGAATTAAGTAAAGAATTAGAGATGACTCAAGTAATACAAACTCATCACAGAGACCCATGGTTACAAATAAATCAATGTTTAAATCTGAGGATTCTAAAAACAAGTACCAAATATTCCATATTAGGTTGTTTTCAATTATATTCTTTAGCTTTAAGGACTAAATTTCCTAGAATCAAGTTATTTCTACCAAGGAACACAATTTTTCATTTAATGTGGCTAACAAACCTGCTTTAGCCTTTTTCGTTTTTTTTTGTTTGGATTTCATATTATCTTGCATATTGTCTTCTATATTTTGTTCCACTGAGCTTATTTCATCATCTTGATGAGAATCCAACGTAACTGTTCCAACCAGAGACTCCTTCTTTTGTTTACTTTCAACTGTGTCATCAGAGATGGTCAATGCACTGAAAATATAATCCATGTACAAGCCATTACAAATATATTATTACGATAATTATTATTCATGGTGCAATAGAGTAAACAGTAAATGGAGGCAAGGATAATCCTAAAATCAGTATTATTTTCTGCTGGGAGATGCATATATTTTCTTATAGACTAAAATGGTTAGCTGTTAAACTAGGTATCATATGTATTATTTTATACTTGGTGAGGAGCTACATATCCCACAAACCAATTTAAACTGAGCTCTAAACCCCAGAGAAAACTCAAATTGTACTTCATGCAATGGATCTGTGTTTATGTAGGACTCATCAATGCATCCTCACCCTGGTGCCAAGTAAATGATTAATGAACAAATTTATAAATTTTTAAATTTAAAAGCAAAGGCCGGCCCAGTGGCGCACTGCTACAGTGCGCCGCTTGGGAGCACAGCGGCGCTCCCGCTGAGGGTTCGGATCCCACATACAGACCGGTTCCCGCTCACTGGCTGAGCGAGGTGTGGGCGCAGCACCGAGGGTTGCGATCCTGTTGCCGGTCTCGGTACGGGCGCGACACTGAGGGTTGCAATCCATTGCCAGACACGAAAAAAGACAAAAAGGAAAAAAAAAAATTTAAAAGCAAAATAAAAAGTGTTCTAGGTTTGTTCTGTTTTCAAAAGGCTTCAGGTATACAACTTTTGATTTCCAGGTAAAATTAATTCCTTGTATTTTCCAGTGGCTGGTGTGTCACTACATTTTCAAAAAGCTATTATTGAAATTAAAATCTGCATGACATGAACCAGTAAATGGTAAGGGGTAGCAGCCCAGAAGCATACTGCACTTCAAGAAAAGCCAGCCTATTTGTTTGTAACTTATAAAGTAAAAAAAATTTGGACTTAAATAATAAAAAATTAACATCTAATATATTTAGTCATCTCTCAAAAAATGGGTTGAGAAATGAAAAAACTAGAGAAATATTTCAAATTACTCATTCCAGAAAGCCATTCTATTTATCACACCACCAAATACCATTTAAGGAGAACAGCTATCCTTTGCATGTCACTGTCATTTAAACTAAAAATTCAGGAACTAATCCTATTTTACATTCACTATGGCTTAGCAGTCCATCACAAATGTGGTAGCTGTGAGAAGGCAGATTTATCATACAGTGTGGTAAGCAGCCTCTAAGATGGCCCCTACTGATCCCTGCCTCTTGATATTCACATCTTTGTATAATCCCCTTCCCTTTGAGTGTGGGCTGGACCTAGTGACCTACTTCTAATGACAGAATATGGCAAAAGTTTTAAGTGCCACTTCTAGGATTAGGTTCCAAAAAGACAATGACTGCTGTTTAGCTCTCACTCTCTGGGAACGCTTGCCCTGGGAAGGCAAGTGGCTATGTGAGAAACCCACATGGAGAGGTCCATTTGGCAAGGAATTGATGTCTCTGGCCAAAAACCAGTCAGGACCTGGGACCTGCCAACTGCTACTAGAGTGAGCTTAGAAGTGGATCTTTTGAGGCATTCTAACAGCTATGTCACTTGGCAGATCCTCCCCAGCCAAGGCTTGAGATGACTTCAGCCCTGGCTAACATCCTGATCGCAGCCTATGAGAGACCCTGTGAAAGAATCAGAGGCATCGAGCTAAGTCGCTCCCAGATTCCTTACCCACAGAAACTGTGAGAAAAATAAATGTTTGTTGTTCTAACATCTCCTAATGTTAAATAACTAATTACTAATTAACTAATTACAGCAACAGATAACTAATACATATACCAACATGTCCCTTCCCTCTAACATTTTCCTTGTCTTTGTTACTACTGGTAGTCTAGTTTTTGATAAGAAGGAAATTATTTTTAGCTGAGGGCTTCAGGGGAAATTGGCCAAGAAACAATCACATATAGAATGTTCCCACTTCAAACTATTTCTCTAAATGAGGACTGCAGTGAAGAATTAATTATGGCAGTTAAAAGACATTTTTTTTTTATCTTATTGTTTTTTCCAAGGAGAGAACATATCAATAGGAATATACTCACAGAAACCCATATCATATATATAAGCATATACACACAAGCACTGCATACAGAAAAAGACTAGAAGAATACCAAAATACTAATAGTTATTATCTTTGGATGGTTGTTCGGCAGTGAGCAAATGTTATTTGTATAATAAGGAAAAAAGCTATATTCTTATATCCAAACATACATTTATAGCTCAAAAAAAGGAAAGTAATTTAGTTTCTATTATTTTAAAAGCAGACGTAATGGAGTAGGTAAGGGTAGAGACTAGCTAGACTGCCGAAGTTCTGGCTCAGCCTCTTACTAGGTGACTTAAACCCTTTCATTTCCTAATTAGCAAAACAGGACGATATTACTTTTTCCTCATAGGGTTGTTATAGGAAACAAATGAGTTACTTCTTGTAAAGCATCTAGTAAGGTGCTATGAAAAGGTTAGCTCTCATTATCTGAGTGGCAATGTCTTCAAATGAAAGACTAAGAATTTTCTTTTTTAATCTACGTACAGACACCACTCAAATCTGAAAATAATAGTGTTTTTTAGAAAGGACATTTTAATTTATCAATGTGAAGTACCTTGTTTCAGCTTTAGACAGGACTGGAACTTTCTTTTTCTTCTTTTTTCTTTTTTCACTGCTCACTTTGTCATCATGCAATAAAGTATCCGAGGGAAAGAAAGTCAACTGTTCTTTCAGTTTCTTTCTTATTTTCTTCTTAATCTCCTTTGCCATTTCTTCAGCTACTTGGAGCTGATATACCTGCATCAGTTCTTCCTCTTTTAAATCATTATTTTCTCTTCCCTCATTTGCCTTCTCATTTTTCTGATGTTCAACACCTGGCTGTGACTTTGTTTGTGCTTTCTGATGTGCAGAATCCACCTTCTTCTCAGGAGTTTCCAGTTCCATTTCTTGTGCACTCACCTGGAGAACTGTCTTTATAACCTTTTTATTTGGCTTTCCTTGCTTGTCTTCCTCTACGTAAGCATTGTCATTTGGATTTTCAGTTGCTGACTGTGTACTCCTCAGTTTGTTTTTAGTGACTCGCATGCCCTTCTCCGGGTTATTAATGTTAGTAGCACTTACATCATCACCTTTAGTTTCTTTAATTTTCTGAAGATTGCTTCTAATGTCAAGCTAGGGAAAAAAGACACAATAAAAAAGTTTCAGCTAAGCCAAGTTCAGTTATATAAACACAATGATTAATGTTCAACAATGTGAAATACTGGGAAGATTCATTTTCTACTTGGACAGTGATACTACTCTAGAGCATTTGATGAGCACTCTCCTAGTTTATGCTCCCAGAATTAGATTAGTAATCTCTGAATATAACTTCTGATTAAATGAGGAAATTAACATGGGAAAAAGTACTTAAGGACTTTTCAGAAGTAAATTAATTGCTCAAATCTCAAGTACCATTTTCCTCACTGGCAGAATGATCCACATTCTAATCTAATTAAGAGATAATTGAGAAATTGCTAAAAGAGACACTGAGTATAAAACATTTTGGGCTCCCCCATAGAAAACACACACAGGTCATTTATCCTGCTTCATAATTACACTTTAAAATGAAAAGTCTACAGCTCTAAGCTCACCCTGAAAATAATCCAAATATCTCACTATATTAAATACTGCAAAAATTAAATCAAATGATGAACTAAGCACATACCTGTACCTCTTTCCCCAATCCAAACTATGTGAGAGATATCGTGAGATAATTATGTGAGAGAGAAAAAAAATCAACAAAAGCCTGAAAATCTAAAGGGAATATTACTAGTAGTAAAATAAATATTTTAAGAAATTCCTCAAGGATTAAAAAAATAGGCAGGTTAGATTTATTAAGAAACTACCAGAGAAAACCACAGCCTATAGGAAAAGATTTCTCGACAGATAAGGGTGCTTCTGGAGAAGCCATAAGAATCCAAGTCAAGTAATATAAAAGAAAAGGAGGGGATAAGCCTGAGGATGACCAATTGAGGAGCTGGGATAGAAACTGCCCTGACCTCCATTTGTGTTAAGTGGTGACCTTCACCCAGGGGATTAAGCAGCTGAGCAGAGAGAGAAAGGGCAGCAGCACGCTTGAGGTAGATACAACCCGCACAAATAGAAGCAAACTATGCTTTTTAAAAAACAATGACAACAACAAACAGGCAAGAGAAGAGAGATTCCCAAATATAAAGATAACTAGAGAACTAAAAACTAACACCCCCAGAAGAAAGTAGCACAATAAAGGACAGCATACCAGATCCAACAGAACAGAAAAATGAACACCAAAGAAAAACAAATAGCATAAACAAAATAAAAAATTTAAATGATAATTAATATTAATAAAGAAATCCAAAAGCATACTGGATGAAAAAGAAACAACTGCAGATGTTAGAAATAAAATTTTGACTGACTGAAATAAAAGCTTAACAGATGAACTGAAATATAGAATGGACAAAAACCAAAGTTCTACAAGATGAAGCCAACATCAAAATGAAGAATTCTCCCAGAAATGGATGAACTTACCAATGAACACTGAGGTTCAATTTTGAAATTTCTCATTTAAATGTAGTTAGAAAATATCCAATATATGCAAACAGGAAATGAAAAAATGCTGAAAGAACTAGTATCACAATATATCCAATGTTTTACAATCTCGAAGACTCTTTTCCTCCACTATTTCCAAATTCTATTCTTCAGGGGTAAATTACAAAGCTATATTATCCAGAAATACATTTCTTAATCAAATGTATGAAAATCTCACTCTTTTAAAAAAGTTGGCTTATTTTTACATATTCTGTTTTAGATGCAATATATGCTTAACTAAATATAAAAAATTTAAGAGAAAAAAAATCCATAAACAACCAAAAAAGAAGACCCAAAGCTCAACCCTGGTTACCTCTTACAAAGAAAAGTACTACTAAACTTTTTGGAAATTTCTTTTCATTTTCTTTCTACGAATATAGTCTTACCTCAATAACCTTGAACTTCCATTATGTTACAATAGGGCATATGAAAAGATTTTAAAAATGAAGCCCTGGGAAAGTTAATCAGATGAGGCTCAGTTTTTGATTTACTTTGTTACATCAATCTGTCAGCCTTTATACTAATAACATTAATTTTATATGACTTTATATTTGTTATTAATTTGTATTTTTCTTTGCTTCTTAAATACTGCAATAAATACAATTCCCAGAGTATCTCTGGCAGCATTCCATACATTTCATAGCATTATACTGATGATATTTTCAATATCTTTTAAATAGCCTGTTTTTGTGATTTGTTTTTCTTTTTCCCTCTAACAGCTTTATGGGATAAATTTCCAAGTAGTTTATAAACTCTAAACTTTTGTTTTTAATTTCTACTGTTGTATTACAGTAAAAAAAAAAAGGCTGCTTTATGGAATTTAATAGTTTCATGGATTAGATTATGACTGAATTTTGAACGATCCTAAATAAATTTGCTCATGTTTTTATTATAACTTTGCCCATCCTTTTATTTTTAACTTCTATGCATCATTTAGATTTTATTTTTTTTTGGTCTAGATTGCCTACTTTTAAAATCAGCTTTATTGATATATAACTTTATTGATATATAATACAATAAAATTCACCAATTTTAAATGTATAATTAAAAGAATTCTGGCAAATGTATGCAGTCATGTGAAAACCACCATAATCATGGTGTTAAACATTTCCATATTTCTATTATCACACCTGTTCTTTTACAAATTCGACCCCCTTCCCATCCATGCCCTGGCACCACTCAACAACTGATCTGCTTTCTATCACTATAGCTTTGCCTTGTCTACAATTTCATATAAATGGAATTATACTGTATATAGCCTTTTGTGTTTGGTTTCCTTCACTAAGCATTAAGCTTCTGAGATTCATCCAAGTTGATACATTTATACTACTTTATTCTTTTTTATTACTGAGCAGTATTCTATAGTATACTTATATATGCTACATTTTGTTTCTCCATATACCAATTAATGAACACTGGAGTTATTTACAGTTTTGCACTGTTATATTTTCATTTCTCTTGGATAAATACCCACAAGTGGAAATGCTGTGTTATATGGTAAGTAGATGTTTATCTTCTTAAATAACTTCCAAACAGCTTCCCAAAGTGGCCATAATTTTGCACTTCCACGAGCAGTGTACTTACCTGACATCCTTGTCAGCACTTAATATTGTCAATTTTTGTTTTTTAGCTATACTAATAGGTATGTAATGGTATTTCAGTATTGTTTTAAATTGCATTTCCCTAATTACTAATAACATGGAGAATCTTTACACGTGCTTATTTGCCATCCATATCTCTTCTTTGGTTCAAATCTTTTGCCCATTTTTATTGGGTTGTTTGCTTTCACATCACTGAGTTGTTAAGAGTTCTTAAAATGTTCTACATACAACAGTTTATCAGATGGTGCTCTGCAAATATTTTCTCTCAAACTAAGAGCTTATTTTTCATTTTCCTACCAATGTTTTGAATTTTCACATACCCTTTTTATCCCTTTTTTCTCTTACGGTTCATGCTTTTCTATCCTGAGAATTCTTTGCCTAATCCAAGGTTACAAAAGCTTTATCTTTTTTCTTCTGAGTAATGCTTTTGCAGCATTCCACAAATTTTGATATGTTGAGATTTCACTTTAAGTTAGTTCAAAATATTTTCTAAATTCTTTTGTGAAAGAAATTTCTTTAATTTCCAAATATTTGGAGATAGTGCAGATTTGGGGGGGTTATTTCAAGCTTGATTTGTTGTGGTCTAAGAGCATGCTTTGTATTATTTAAAATTTTTATTTTATATTTAGAATTTATATTTAATTTTTATATTTAATATAAAGACTTAGAGTTGTTTTATGTCCCAGAATTGTGTCTGTCTTGGTGAACATTCCATCTGCACTAGAAAACAATGAGTATTCTGCGTTTTTTGGGTACAATGTTCTATAAAGCTCAAGTCAAATTTGTTGATAGTGTTACTGAAGTCTTCTATATTCTTACTGACTTCTTGACTATTTGTTCTATCAGTTTCTGAGAAGGGTTATTGAAGTATCTACCTATAATTGCTGCTTTGTATATTTCTTTTTTTTTTTTCCTTTTTGTCTTTTTTCGTGACCGGCAACGGATCGCAACCCTCAGTGTCGCGCCCGTACCGGACCGGGACCGGCAACGGGATCGCAACCCTCGGTGCTGCGCCCGTTCCTTGCTCAGCCAGTGAGCGGCCGGTCTGTATGTGGGATCCGAACCCTCGGTGGGAGCGTCGCCGCGCTCCCAAGCGGCGCACTGTAGCAGTGCGCCACCAGGCCGGCCCCAGCTTTGTATATTTCTCTTTTCATTTCCATCAATTTTTGTTTTGTGTAATTTGAAACGCTGTTAGGTTCACACATATCTAGGATTAACATCTTCTTGATAAACTGACATCTTTACCATTATAAAATATTACCCTTAGTAATATCCTTTATTTTAACATATACTTTCTCTGATACCAATATAACTACTCCAGCTTTCTTTTGACTAGTGTTAGTATGGCATATATTTTTCCATTTTTTAAATTTACATTTAAAGTGGGGTTTTTACAGTCAACATATAGTTGGGCCTTGTTTATTTGCCAATCTGACAATTCCTACCTTTTAATTGGTGTTTGGACCATTTATATTTTAAGTGATTCTTGATATGGCTGAGTTTAAATACGAGGGTATTTCAGAAAGTTCACAGAACAATAGAGTTAAAAGATAGCGCAAATCTTTCCATGAATTTTTTGAAGTACTCTCAAAAACCATTTTGTTATTTGCTTTTTATTTGTCTTATATTCTTGGTTTCTTTTTCCTCTTTTCTGCCACCTTTCTCATTATTTTCTTTAATTACATTATATCATTACTAGTTTTTTAGCTATTCTCTTTTGTGTGTGTGTCAATGCTTTAGGTTTTACAATATACATCTTTAACTTATCACTGTCTACCATCAAATAATGCCATTTCACATATTTTTTTTTTTTTTTTTTACTTTTGGTGGCTGGCTGGTAAGGGGATACAACTTGAATTTGGTGGTATCTGCACCATGGTCTAACCAAGTGAGCTAACCAACCAGCAGACATATATTTTAACAACCTTAGAAAAGTATACTTCTATTTGTCTCCTCCCATACCTT